TATTGAATGGTGTCTCTTGAGTGTTTGGGTTGTGTTTAGATTGGAAAATGGAGCCCTACATACGTGATATTTTATGGGTTGCTCTAATTGTGGCTAAGGAAAGATGCGTGTACATACATTAGTGTGATTTTGGTGAGTGTTTGTAACTAAGGTTTTGAATTCAACATGCCTAGCAAATAGCTAGCATTTTTATGAGTAGATGGTCTTATTAGGGGGTGTAAAAAACTTATCATATTTATTTCTTTTGTAGAAACTGCTGTAACCATTTTAGTTCTCAGAATTCAACCCGCTTATGCTATGCTACTTTTTACTCCAAAGCTTTTGCAAAAAGCTTCATCTACAACCCCCAAACCCTTCTGTCTTGCAATCCACTTGCTTCTCCAAAGTACCTCCACAAAACATGAAAAGCAAAATCAACAATGGTTTGGTTTGATTCGTTGCATTGCTGGTCCAGCATCAAGCCCGAGCTTGTCTATATGGAGGCGGAAGAAGGAGATTGGCAAAGAGGGGCTTATTGCAGCCAAAGAACTCAAGCGACTTCAATCTGACCCAATTCGTCTTGGCCGATTCATTCGCTCGCATGTGTCTCGCTTGCTCAAGGCTGATCTTGTATCAGTTCTTGCTGAGTTCCAAAGGCAAGATCAAGTATTCCTTTGTATGAAGGTATTATTCTTTTTTATTTACTTTTGCTGATTCTTGCTTTAATTGCAATGCTTGATGCAAAATTTTAATGTTTTGATGGATTAAGGAGAAACTATTCACTCGGTTGCAGAGATTGGATTGTTGTGTTGAGGTGGCGTATCGTTTGGCTTTTGTTTCTAATATATATTTGCTGGGTCAAATAAGTATGGAGGTTTTTGTTTTAGCCGTTTTGGTTTATAAGCCATTGGCTTGTAAGGGGAAAAAGTTTTAAAACTTATCTTTTTGGCTTCTAGGCTTATGCTATAAAGCTTTTGGCTTATAAGCTATGCAATAAAGCCTATTTTGTCTTTTATATCTATTACCAAAATGTTCTTATTAAAAAATTACTACCTTTTGTTCATGTGTCCTTTTTAATAATTTTATTGACATTTCTACCTGCAACCACTCTTTTACCAAATACATTTTTCTACTTATAACTACTCTTTAAGGAAACAAAAGTTTCACTTATTTTCAATAGGTTGGCCCCATGAACTTATAACCCCAACCTAATTGTAGGGGAAGTGAGGGACAGAAAAGACTGGATGTTGTTAATGCATGCTACGTCCTTCATGCATGTTACAGTTGTATGCTACCTGCTTGCTTATCAGAGAAGGAATAACGCAAAGATCAGATGTTGATGTATACCGGCTCTGATCTTACAGAAACAGAAAGCTATTCTGATTCTCTTCTCAATCTCTAAAAGGAATCCTAGAGTGAAAATATTCAGGATTTTTAGATTCAAGACTTATCCATGTTAGTTACTTTAGGTCTGGAAAAATGAGAGATGCTCTGTTTCTGTCAAGCTTCAACAGTTGGTTAACTTGATAATATTATGGGTTCTTGACTTGTTCTGTTGGTCTGGGTGGCTGAAAACTCTATGATAGGAAATGCAGTCTTGATAACTTGGAATCAAGCGTGATGTTGTTATTCAATATTTCCTTAAATGAATTTGTCAAGTTTTTACCAAGCTGATAGTTTGGAGTTGTGTCTACGGCTGGCCTCCTTTGTTTTTCTTATGTAATGCTTATTATGTAGGAGTATGAAGACACTTTTAATCTCAAAGCAATATGCTAATTCTGTTATTTACTCTGCATATATCTTCAAATGTTTCTGATCAGTCCAATCATCCCTGAAGATCATATTACATGTGCATTTACATGTAAGCAATGCCAAGCCATAAGCAAAGAATTTTTCTGATTGGTACATGAAAATATTTTCATTTTTCTGTTTATGCATGTTATTATTCATAGAAGAATGTAAGAGTTGCATATTTGTGAAATAAAGTAGTTTTTTAGGAAACACTGAGAACAATATTTAAATTTTTTTTGATTTCTTCTTGTTATGCTATTTGTTTTCTTATTGTTAATAAATTTGTATGATTTTATGAATGAAATACTTATAAATTTAGAAAATAAAAATTAAAAAATATTTTCATATAATAAACGGAGTCTTAGATTCTTATATTGAAGTTGAAGCACTAGATCTATTAAACTTGATTATTATGCCACATTGAAGTTGGCAGCTAAACTAATTAGTGCAAGCAAATTAATCACGAAGAGATAACTACTTATAAATTTGGAATTCTTCTAATTTTGTGACATGTGATTTTGTTTTTCAGTTATATGATGTAGTACGGAAAGAAATATGGTACCGGCCAGACATGTTCTTTTACAGGGACATGCTTGTGATGCTAGCTAGAAACAAAAAGGTGGAAGAAGCAAAGAGGGTTTGGGAAGACCTAAGGAGAGAGGAAGTTTGGTTCGATCAGCATACTTTTGGAGATATCATAAGAGCTTTCTTAGATGGCGGACTTCCCTCAGAGGCAATGGACATTTATGAAGAAATGAGACAATCCCCTGATCCCCCGTTATCTTTGCCTTTTCGAGTAATCCTGAAAGGACTCATTCCATATCCAGAATTGAGAGAGAAGGTTAAAGATGATTTTTTGGAGCTTTTCCCTGGTATTGTCGTCTATGACGCCCCTGAAGACTTGTTTGAAGATCAAGGATTGAGATCAGAGAGTGAAAGTGAGTAGGGTTTTATTTAGGGCTTCTTTGAGAAAATATTGAAGATGAGGTGTTCCCTAAAGCTTTGAGAGTTTAATGCCTTTGGAATATTGGGAGCTTGTTTTATGATAGATTATGTTGTAGAAGCTCAGAATGGAAGGGACTATTGCCACTAGTCCGTTTGCAATGAATAGTTCGGAATAAATATCTAATTCGTCAAATAGTATAAATCTATAAGAATGCATTACCAAGGGAAGGTTATATTTTTGTGTATGTATATGAACTATTTGGTTAAGTGATCTACTTTTGTCTCTTTCCAAGAGTTTAAGATTCTAGTGCCTTAAAGATGAGTCTTTTCGTACAGTGGACAGGTATCTGATAAAATACACACACACACACACATATATATGTACTATAATCTTCTGAGGAACTAATAGATCAGAATTTATATTTCTGGCTGGATCATTGATTGGTGATTGCAAAGATTTTTACCACTAAAAAGGAAGTAAATTTCTTTAGTACTTTATATGACTTTCTTAAATCTAAAAGTTACACCCAACCAAAATTTTCTTTTAAAAAAAAAGGCTGCATTAATTTTTTTTATAAACTATATTATTCAGCTCGATCGAGATAGTTTCTCCATTTCCTTCTACAATAAAAAGCACTGCCTGAAAAAATAAAAAGAAAATAAAAAAGCACTAAAGCTGAAGATTATTTATAATTTAAAATTAAAATTAATTTTTTCTTCTTGTTTAATAAGTCATATAACTGTACAGTCCATTCCTATCTTTTATCATTTTAATTTCTCAATTTATAAACATCTTGGGATTATGACTAACTTTGTGTACAATTTACTTATAAATTTATATTATTTAAATTTAAAAAAAATTATGAAAACTGTAATTAAAATAATAAAAATTAGACTTATAGAAAATTTTGTATGATTAGATCAATAAAATCTAAAATTGATCAAATTGAGTTGGGCCTCTCTCTCTCTCTACTCTCATAATTTTAATTGTAAATTTTGTGGTTCTTTTCTCTTACACGGGCCAGCTTTTATTCAGGTCCAATCTGATAAAAAAATTTCTAAATAGTGGGTGAATGACCGTCCTGTCACTCAATCAAAGCCCCTTTCTGTTGGGTCCTTTTCTCCTCTCTCACATGCCTGTGACAGTAGACCACGCTCAGAACAATAGAATACAACAAATTAAATCTTAATTTAATTTAATTTTTAAAAATCACATGACATGACCGTCATCTAAAGGTTATTGCATGCCCAATCTGTAACATATTGGGTGTTGTGACACAAAACAAGCTTAGCTGGACAAAAATACATTTATTACTAAATTACACTTTTACCCCCAACTCTTGCTCGTATTGACATCCACATCCCGTCCCGAATGCCAACTAAACCCCTCTAAACAAAAAATAAATAAATAAATAAATAAGAGTAGTACTGCTCTTATTAGGGTTTCATGTCACTGCAACTGAACACTGCCCAAGATGATACTCATCAGTTTGAAATGGCCTCAATTAAACCCAGATAGTTTCCTTATCGAGGTAGGTAACCTACGCCCTTGACTTCTCTTGGTAAATAATTTTTAAAGGAGCTTTCCATTTAAGCCTTCGTTTTCCTTTACTCAAAAAAAGTAAAAAGAAAAAACTCTTCTTGTTAACCCATTATTTCGATTGCTTAGCCGAGTCAAAATTGAATTTCTTTTCCCTCTTTCTTCACCCAGTTGGCCTTATTGAAATGGGTTTCTTTTGGGTGAAAAGGGTAAGGTGTCTGTTGCTTGTTTAACTCAGTGTTTGAGTTGGGCTTGATGCTGAAGGAAGCAGAAATGGTTTCTTGAAGCCGCATGTAGGCGAGAGTGGTGGTGTTTTAGCATGTATGCTTCCTAAAATGCATTGGATTCAATCTCAGATCCAGCACAAACATGGTCTTTTGACCTATTCTGTCTTCTATTCTTCTCCTTCATATAACACTGATTACCAAAACAGACCACCACACCCCCACCACCCCCACCATCTTTCTTCTGGTAGTAAAATAAGCCCGGCCCTTCTTTTTATTATTGTTATTCTAGCTGTTATATTTTTCATCTCTGGTCTACTCCACTTGCTTGTTAGATTCCTCATAAAGCATAGATCTTCTTCATCAGTATCTGAATCCGACAGATACCAAGAGATGTCAGGGTCTGATGCCTTCCAGCGGCAGTTACAGCAGCTCTTTCATCTTCATGATTCGGGTCTAGATCAAGCGTTTATTGATGCTCTCCCTGTCTTTCCTTACAAAGAGATAAAGGGTTTGGAAGAGCCCTTTGATTGTGCTGTTTGTCTCTGTGAATTCACGGAACAAGACAACCTGAGATTGCTTCCCATGTGCAGCCATGCGTTTCATATGAATTGTATAGACACATGGTTACTTTCTAATTCAACATGTCCACTTTGTAGAGGTACCCTTTTCTCAGCTGGACTTCCCATTGAGAACCCAGTTTTTGATTTTGAGGATTCAAACGAAGAAGATGCAGTCTCAGGTAATGGAGGGAATTTAGTTTCTGCTGGTAAAAAACCAGCGGAGAATGAGATTATTAGTGAGAAGAGGGTGTTTTCTGTTAGACTAGGCAAGTTTAGAAGCACAGATGGAGGAGGCGGAGGAGTTGCAGACATAGCACAGAGAGGAGAAGGGGAGACAAGTAGTAGTAATTTGGATGCAAGAAGATGTTACTCAATGGGATCATATCAATATGTGGTTGCTGACTCGGACCTTCAAGTAGCCTTACGTACCAGTAGAAACGGAGCTAGTACTAGAATAAAGCTTGGTAAAGGAAGAGGATTAGGGCAAAATGGGTTGCTCTCCATTGATGGGGGGGATGTTGAAGGTAAGAAGATAAACATTAGAAGTAAAGGAGAGAGCTTTTCTGTTTCTAAGATATGGCAATGGTCTAGTAAGGGCAAATTCCCAAGTCGTCCAGAATCGCAGCTGGGTTCATCTTCTGTAACTGTTGTTGGTTGGTCATGAACTGATAGAACTCAATCTCATCAGGAATCATGAAAGGGTAACTACTGTTGCCTCCTACTTTTTTTTTTTTTTTTTTTGTCATTGTATCAATAAATTCATTTATTAAAAGCTTTCCTCTTGCCTTTTGCTTTCTCTTTTCTTCAAGAATATATATAAGAATACATTTTTTTTTTTTTCACCGTATGAAACTTTGGTGAAATATCTTTCTTTTGTTTTATACTTTTATGCAAATTGCTGGGTGCTTTTTCTGCTTTGAACCTACCAAAAAGGAAAATCTGGGTACTTTATCTTTTCAGTAAATTCCATAAATTTGTATGAACTGGTTTTTACTCATCTCTGACACAATCAACCTTCATTCGGAGAAGAGAAGGAAGATGATAGCAAACTCAACAAACTCGAAATTACAATATTGTTTTTTATCCATAATTATTTTATTATTTCAAAATAGTTTTTTTTTTTTTTATGATAATTAAAATACTAGTAATAACGTGAGCTCGAATTTATAATAAAAAAAAACTGAAGTCGGTTGTATCGATGAAAGATCCAACTCAGGCCATGTGTTAAGTTCATAAAGTCTTTAAATTTGAAAGAGGGCACGCAACGACATTGGCCTGCCATGTGATCTCCCTGTAATTTACTTCCAGGATAATCTAGACTGCGTTTTACCTTTTTAAAATTTTTTATTTTCCTGGGAATTATGATTAATGGGATAAGCTGGCTGTTTATTTGCTGAATAAATAATCTTTAACAGAAAAAGAAGTGTTTTTTTTTTTCTTTTCAATATTTTTTTAATATTAATTTAAAGTGCTTATTTTGATAAATTCAGTTATATATATTTATTTTGATAAATGCTCCTATATATATATATTTGATAACATAAAATAAAATAAAAGATTTTTTTTTTTTTTTTTTTTTTTTGGGTGGGGAAAATAAATGGTTTTGGTGTTGGAATGGAGAAATGATATCTGATGGTGGTGGGATCGGTGAAAAGCGTTTTAAGGGACTCTTGTGATGGGCAGACACTTTATCATTTGATAAAAAGTTGACATTGGATGGATGTGGGATCATAATTTTTTCTTCTCTTCTTTCTCTCTTTTAAAAATAAAAATAAAAAATAATCTTGTCCCTAGTTTAATAATTAGCAATAATGGTACCTGGAAATAGTTAGGTTTTTATGTTTTTAAGATTAAGAAAATGATGTTCAGACTTTTAATTTCAAATTTGAAAGATAACATGACGATTAAGTGATTGTTTTAAACAAAAAATCCAAAAGGAAAAAAAATGCACGTAGTCTCCTATTACTTAGAGGTGGGATACTACATTGTTTTAGTTTTTG